AGATCCTTCCGCCTCAGCCTTCCAAGGAGCCGGAACTACAGGTGTGCGCTACCAGGCCCGGCTGATTTTTGATTTATTGTAGAGATGAGGTCTCGCCAAGTTGCCCAGGCGGGTCATGAACACGCGGGCTCAGGCAATCCACTCACCTCAGCCTCCCAAAGCGTGGGATTACAGGCTGAGCCACCGGGCACAAAGGACTTTTATAAAAAATATACAGGTCAGGTGCTGTGGCTCAAGCCTGTAATCCCAGCACTTTGGGAGGCTGAGGTGAAGGGACTGCCTGAGCCTACGGGCTAGAGAACAGCCTGGGCAACTTGGCGAGACCTCATCTCTACAATAAATCAAAAAAATAAGCTGGGCATGGTAGCACGCGCTTGTAGTTCCAGTTACTTGGAAGGCTGAGGTGGAAGAATCTTCTGAGCCCAGCAGGTCAACGCTGGGGTGGCCGTGAGCGTGTCTCTGCACTCCAGCCTGGGCAACAGAGTGAGACTCCAACTCGGAAAAAAAAAGTACACACATACACACAACTCTTAAAATTCATCTCTAAGAAAACAGATAACCCGATTTTCTTTTTTTTTTAGTCGGAGTCTCACTCCGTCACCCAGACTGGAGTGCAGTGGCATGCTTCCGGCCACCGCAGCCTCAATCTGCCGGACTCCAGAGATCCTTTCACCTCAGCCTTCCAAGTAGCTGGAACTACAGGTGCATACTACCACGCACGGCTATTTTTAAATTTTATTGTAGAGATGAGGTCTCGCCAAGTTGCCGGGGCTGGTCTCGAATCTGTGGGCTCAAGCAATTCACTCGTCTCAGCCTCCCAAAGTGCTGGGATTACAGGTGAGCCAACAAGCCCAGCCTAACCTGATTTTTAAATGCAAAAATCCAAAACACTGATGATACTAAATGCTGATGGAGAATGTGGAGCAGTAGGAACTCTCCTTCCTTGCTGGTGGGAATGCAAAATGGTATTGACACACTGGAAGACAGTTTAGCTGTTTTTAGCTTCTTACAAAACTAAACATAATTTTACCATATGATCCAGCAGTCACACTCCTTAGTGTATACTGAAATGACAATTTATGTCCACATGAAAACCTGCATATGGTTGCTTGTAGCAGCTTTATTCATAATTGCCAAAATTTCAAAACAACCAAGATGTCCTTCAAGTAGGTAAATGGATAAACTATGGTACATCCAGAATAGGATATTATTCAACACTAAAATAAATGAGCTATCAAGCCATGAAAAGACACAGAGAACACTTAAGTGCATATGACTAAGTGCAGGAAGTCCATCTGCAAAGGCTGCATACTGTATGCTTCCAACTATATGACATTCTGGAAAAGGCAAAACCATGGAGACAGTAAAAATATCAGGGGTTAGGAGAGAGGGAGAGATGAACAGTTACAACATGGAATTACTAGAGCAGTGAAACTATTTTCTATGATACTATAATGGTGGATGCATGTCTAGATATTTTTCCAAACCATTATACACTTGTGCAATGCCAAGGGTGAACCCTAATGTAAACTATGGACCCTGGGTTGTAATGATGTGTCAATGTAGCTTCATCAGTTGTAACAAATGTACCACTCTGGTGGGGGATGTTGATAGTGGGGAGGCTGTGCATGCATAAGGGGTAGGGCCTATATCAGACTCTCCAGACTTTCCACTCAATTTTGCTGTGAACCTAAAATTGGTTTTAAAAATAAAGTGTATTTAAAAAGAAGTTGGCTGGGCTCGGTGGCTCAGCCTGTAATCCCAGCACTTTGGGAGGCTGAAGTGAGTAGAGTGCCTGAGCCCGTGGGTTTGAGACCAGCCTGGGCACCCTGGCGAGACCTCATTTCTACAATAAATAAAAATTAGTCGGGTGTGGTAGCATGCACCTGTAGTTCCGACTACTTGGAAGGCTGAGGTGAAAGGATTGCTGGAGCCCAGGAGGTTGACGCTGGGGTGGCCGTGAGTGTGCCACTGCACTCCAGCCTGGGTGACACAGTGAGACTCCAACTCAGAAAATAAATAAATTAAAAAGTTGTTCAACATCATTAAGTACTAGGGAAATGCAAGATAAAAACGTGCTCAAAATTTACAATTCACTTATTAGAATGGCTAAAATTTTATAAGTTGACTATAATAAGTATTAACAACAATAACAAGGAACTGTAACTCTTATACACTGATGGTGGGAATGCAAAATGGTATAACCATTTTGGAAAAAAACGTTTGGCATTTTCTAAAAATAACAACAATATACCCCTACTATATATGATCCAGGTATTTCAGCTTAGGTATTTCCCCAAGAGAACAGGAAAGCTATGTTCAAATAAAGATCTGAATATACAATGTATAGCAACTTTCTTTGTAATAGTAAAAAATTAGAACAGCATATATGTCCATCAACAGATGAATGGTTAAGCAAATATTGGTATATCCATAAAATGGAATACTACCAAAAATGAACTGTAAAAATAACTGTTGAAACAACAGCTTAGATAAGTCTCAAAATATTATGCTGTGTGAAAGGAGCCAAACAAAAGATTACGTAGTATATGATTCCATTTATATAATACTCAGAATGTAGGGGATGGTTGGAAGTGGGGAGGATAGGGAAGAAAGAATGGAGGAAGGTATGAAAGAGGTGCCTGAGGAAACTTTGGGGATGATGGATATATGATCACTAGCTTGATTTTGGTGACAGAGTTATGGGTGTATACATGTGTCAAAATTTATAAAATTGTACTTCATAAATATTTGCAATGTATTGTCTAACAATTATACCTCAATAAAGCTGTTTAAAAGAAAGAGAGGTATCATCCAGCATAGAACCATACTTTGGGAACTATTAATGCTATATCAATATGTAAGAGACCAAAACTTGATAGGAATTCTACTAACTGAATTAGCAAGACTGGTGCCTATATCTGAGAAGAAAATATCTACCTTTATTAGAGAAACCAATCTAAATATTTTTCAATTGTTTTCCCTCAGGGTATCTGTGGCAATTTCAACTTAGCAATCTGTTGATTCCTAATTGCTGTAATAATTCTCTTAACCTCTATCTATGTCACTGCTTACTTGGCCCCTGAACACCCACCTCATGCCCACAGTTCCCCTGGCCTGACCCCTGTCCATCTACCACAGGGATTAATTACGAGCTTGGTGGAAGTGAAGGATGGGAAGAAAGCTGGAGAGTGGCGGTGTTAGAAGACACGTGCAATCAGCCTGAAAAGGATCATCTGGAGCTAGGCTAGACGCATTGCTGAGATTCTGAACCAAAAACCGGTCCCAGATCCCCAGTAGTAGCACTGGATGATGACTCCGTCCTTTCTGTGCTTGCAATCAGGTTTTCATGATAACCACTTTACCAGCTAGAAGACACAATTATCACGGGAAGAAACATACAGCAATCAAGAAAACAATGCTATATTACTTACCCCTGCTGCTCCGTGCAAGGGCCGTATGCACAAAGCGACCTCCAGATGTCGAAGCAATTTTGCCCGAGAAACCAAAGAAAGAGGCAGACAAATCCAGTTTGTCAGTTTTGGGTGATTTTATTGAGGGAAACTTACAGACAGAAGCTCTTCTTGGGCAGCCACAGGACCAGTAGATCTCGGCAGTGTTACTCCTTCAGTGCCACAGGAAAGGAGTATGTGTGCTCCGGGCAAGACAATTAAAAGGCAACCTGCCAGAACAGGAAAAGAAATACTGTATGCGTTATAGTCTGTAATTTGGATGATTCCATCAAGGTTGCTGTGATCTAAAAGCAGAGGTATATGTAAAATTATGTAGAAATCCGGAAACATTCATGGGACTAGGGCTCATCAGAAGTTGACCTGGTGAATTAGCATCCAAAATGGAGTTGCTTTTTTCTCCACACCTGCTGACTCTTAAATTGTAAGGGCTGGGCGCGGTGGCTCAAGCCTGTAATCCCAGCACTTTGGGAGGCCGAGGTGAGAGGATTGCCTGAGTCCAGGGATTTGACCAGTCTGGGCAACATGGCGAGACCTCATCTCTACAATAAATCAAAAAATCAGCGGGGCGTGGTAGCGCATGCCTGTAATTCCGGCTACTCGGAAGGCTGAGGTGGAAGGATTGCTGGAGACCAGCAGGTCAAGGCTGCCGTGGCTGGAAGCGGCCACTGCACTCCAGTCTGGGCGACAGAGTGAGACTCCAACTCAAAAAAAAAAAAAAAAAGAAATACCCATAAGTAGTAAATAGCAGTTGAATAACCTAACAAAGGTTAGCTCCTTACCTAGCTTATGTCTTCGCTTTGCCTTAATATACAAATGAAAACTCTGGCATCTGGGGCAAAGTCTTACCTCCTTTCTTTTGCTGTGTCTGCCGAATCAGGCAAGTATAAGAAAGAAAAGCAGCAAGGCCAGTAAGGGTCATGGGTCCCTTGGTTGTTTCTGCTCTGGGACCTTTCCTTGACTGTCAGGCCAGCCTAGCAAACTAAAGTTTTTTTCTAGGCCAAGTATTACTGCTTCAAACTCTCTCTCTCCTCCACTGTTAAAGTGTAAGGAAACCTTGGGCTGCTGGGTCCTTTCAGGTGACAAAGGAGACCAGATGGGGGGGTCACAGCCCAGTGTTACGCAATGTGAACAAGGAGATGACCAAAACTGACCTAAAGACAATTGAATTTTGCACGTGAGGGAACAGGAACCTGAGGGTGACCCATCCAGGGCCTCGGCGAACGAGATTCCCCAGATATGCCTGGGGCAGGGGCGTGCTCCGCGAAGGCGTTCAGAACTTGGACTGCGACAGAGCAGGGTTGGAACAGAGCTCTGCGGCGGTGGCGGTGGGACCCCCACACGTGTCCTCCGGGATCCCCGTTTCCTCGTCCGTCCACAGGCCTCCGTGCGAGGCGTCGAGGCGCCGCTCCGGGCGCCTGCGGCGGGGCGCACGGCAGTCCCGAGGCCGGGGGCGGGGGGTCCTCGGCGCCGACGCCCCCTGCTGGCCGGCCCGCGCCCAACGCTCGGCTCGGGGGCGCCCGCGGCCGGATGCCCTGCGTCCGCCGCCTCCTCGGCCTCCTGGCGGCCCTGGCGGCCTGCGGTGCCATCGCCCTCCTCGGCTATTGTGTCTACTTAGATCGGAAGCGGCGCGGGGACCCCGCGTTCAAGCGCCGCCTGCGGGACAGTGAGTGCGACGGAGGCGGCGGCGGAGGCCGGGCCGGGCGGAGAGGGCGGGCCTACGGGGGAGGAGGCCGCGCCCACGGCGGAGAGGCCGCGCCCACGGCGAGAGTGGCCGGGCCCGCGGGCGGGGGAGGCCACCGGGGGAGGTCGGGCCCACGAAGGAGAGGCCGGGTCACGAGGAGAGGCCGGGGTCACGAGGAGGGAGGCCGCGCCCACTGGGGCAGGCCGGGGTCACGGGGGCATGGGGTCTGACTCACGGGGGGAAGCCGGGGTCACGGGGGAAGACCGCGCCCACGAGGGAAGGCCGGGGTCACGGGGGCAGGCCGGACTGCGCGCGCCGCGGTCCCTGCCGAGGGGCCCACGCGGGTGCCGGGACGGCCTCCAGTCTGCACGTGCCGCGTTGTGTTTGCAGAGAGAAGAGCCGAGCAGCCCCAGGGCGAGGGGCGGCCCGCGCAGGCGCAGCGCTGCAGAGACGCCCAGGTAGCTTCAGAGAAGGGTCCTCAGGTGGCTCGGTAGTGGGTGTCGCCACCGTCCCCGGCCCCCGCCCTCGCGCCCCCTGCGTGAAGGAAGGGAGGAAGGGAGGGGAGAGTTGGGGTTATAAAAAGGCAGCTGTAAAGCGCACGTTGTCGGAACAGTGTCGGAGCAGCAAGGTCGGAGATAACCAGGTCCACACACGCTTGTGTCGAGGCTGCAGTCAGCTGAGCGTGTGCCACTGCACTCTAGTCTAGGAAGACAGAGACCCCATCTCGAAAATAATTATAATAGCAATAGAATTTTTAAAAAGGAAAACGTAAGATGGAGTCTTTCTGAGTTGGAGTTGCTCATGTCAAGGTGCTGTATACAATCAGGCACTCTGAGGAGTGTGTGTGCCCTATCAGAGTCACACAGGGCACTAAGAAACCCAGGCCGGCCACAGTCACAGGGCAGTAACATTTACACCACTGATTTTTGTCTTGCAGGTCTTTTCTTCTTGCTCAGAAGTAGAATGTGTCTTCATGTTCTCTAAAACAATATGATTTGTGGTTTGTTTTTGGTTGTTTTTTTTTGTTTTAGAGACAGAAATCTTGCTATGTTGCCCAGGCTGGACACCAACAGTCTTCCCACCTCAGCCTCCTGAATAGCTGGGATTAATAGGCCTGCACCACTGTGCCTGGTTTAGTCATTTTTCAAGATAACATCTTGATGATTGGCCCAGCCTTAACTAACCCACATCAGTTCTAAAACCACTATAGAGGGTTCTATGAAATATCAGAAAGATTGCAGTCTTAACCACCATTCTTTCAGTCAGTCAGTGCCTATTTGAGACTCTTATGTGTGTGGCATTGTCCTAGGTGTGGCAGAGGAACCCTCAAAACAAGGCAGTGAATAAGGTCAATAAATGTAACAAGAGCTGTTGGGCGCAGTGGCTCATGCCTGTAATCCTAGCACTTTGGGAGGCCAAGGCAAGCTCCTTGAGTTCAAGACCAGCCTGGTCAACCTACTGAAACTTCGTCTCTACCAAAAATAAAAAAATTAGCTGGGTGTGGTGGTGCATGTCTGTAGTCTCAGCTATTTGGGATGCTGAGGTGGAAGGGTCACCTAAGCCCAGGAGGTCAAGGCTGTGGTGAGCCATGATCATGCCACTGCACTCCAACCTGGATGAAAGAGTGAGAGCCTGACTTAAAAAAAAACAAAAAAACTCAGAAGAGGCCAGATCATTTTCAGGGTAGGATTATCATGGAGGTGTTCTTTTTACCAGTTGTTTTAAACTTAGTGGCTGAAAACAGTTACCTGTTTTTCTCCTAAATCTGCAATTTGAGCAGGGCTTAGTGGGCATAGCTCTTTTCTGGTCAGCTTCAGACAGGATGGCTCCAGGGCAGGGTCTTGGTCATCTGAATGCACACTCCCTCGTGTCTGGCATCTGATGCTGGATGTTTATTTAGCTGAGTCTGTAAACCTGAGCACCTACACAGGTTCTCTCCTTGTGGCCTGGGAGTCTTCACTGTGTGTTGGGCTGGGTCCCACAGGGCAAGCAAGCATGCATATAGAGAGAGCATGAGAGTGTGTGTGCCCATGTGGGGGAGCAGATGGTACCACTGCTTGCAACATTGAGGCCCAACTGATTTCAAGAGGAGAGGAAATCAACTCTACCTTTTGGTAGGGGAGGCTAGGTTCTGAAAGCACATGTGGGACTGGGAATATTGCCATGGCTGTTTTTGAAAACCGCGGTTTTTCTGCAGAGGACTTTAGGAAGGAGGTGGCATTGCACTGAGCCTGGAAGGATGTTGAATTTGGGGCCTGGTTTCAGAGGCGAAATTCAGGATGGAGGGTGTGGCATGTGCCTAAAGTGGGGATGTCAGTCAGTTTGGCAAAGGAGTCATAGTGAGGAAAGAGGGAAGGAAGACTGGAGAGGTAAGGAGGGGTAGAGTTAGGGCAGGCTTGCTTTGGAGGCCAGGTTAAGGAATTGAGATTCAGTGGGCGAATTGCTGAAGATTTCTAAACAGGATTTTGTTTTTTTGTTTTTGTTTTTTGAGTTAGAGTCTCACTCTTTCACTCAGAGTGGAGTGCAGTGGCATGATCATGGCTCACGGCAGCCTTGACCTCCTGGGCTCAGATGATCCTTCTGCCTTAGCCTCCTGATTAGGAATACAAATGTGTGCCACCATGCCTGGATAATTTTTGATTTTTTTGTAGAGACGAGGTCTCGCTATGTTGCCTAAGCTGGTCTCAAACTCCTGGGCTCAAGCAATCCTCTTGCCTCGGCCTCTTTAAGTACTGAGATTACAGGCATGAGCCACTGTGCCCGGCCACTAAGCAGGAATTTTTTTAAAAGAAGGGAAGAAAATAAAAGTTCTTAGATTGATCAGGAAGGGCTGTACTTGGTGGACTGAAAAACAGAACAAGCTATTGCAGCCATATATAATATGAGAGGTAATATAAATCCTGACCTACAGTGGCGTCAGTGGTAACCGAGAAGATGAATAGCCCAGGAAGGATAGAGTTCATGCTGACTGATGAAAGGGTCATGGAGAGGCAGGAGTCAAAGAGACTTCCGAGGCTTCAAAATGGAGTCAGAGAATAAAGGCACAATTGACATCGTTAAGGAAGCTGGGCAGAGAGTGTCCAAGGAGCTGGACATAAGGCGGAAGATGTCTTCCATGATCTGTTTGATTGAGGCAGAGCCTCAGACAGCTCTATGTCCCCCCTTCATTGCCATTATCCATGGTTGGTTTGTGTGATTATTTGTGTTTTCTGTTTATTACTCTAAGCTCGGTGAGGGCAGACCTTGTCTGTTGTTCACTCTCCATTGTCTCCAGTGCCCAGAACAATATCTAACACACTGAGTGCCCAGCAAATATGTGTTGAATATTGTTCGCTGTAGGCAGAGGGGAGCAACTTGTGCAGAGGCACAAACTTTGACATTGTAATATTCAAGGAGTGTTACGGCCAGAGACAGCTGAGCGGAAGGCTAGTGTCTTACTGTGGATGACGATGAACGTTGTGGTGGACAACTAATGGTGACTTTATGTCAGAGAACAGATACAGTTATTTTTTATTTTTGAGTCAGCATCTTGCTCTGTTGCCCATGTTGGAGTACTGTGGCACACTCATGGCCACCCTCAACCTGCTAGGCTCAGATGATCCTTCCACCTCAGCCTTCCAAGTTGCTGGAACTATAGGTGTGCACCACCACGCCTGGCTAAATATTTTTTAAAGAGGATGATTCTGGTACCAGTAATGGAGGGTGGTATGGAGAAGTGAAGATGGGATGATGTCAGTACAGTCCAAATGGGGAATAATGAAGACAGAAGTTATTTCAAGGGAGGAAGCAGCAGAAGCAGGGTTTTTCAAATGTTCTTTCATATAATCCTCACAACAACCCTATTATCATTTTATAGATGCATAAACTGAGGCACAGAAAGATGTCTCTTCTAACCTCTTTTAAGATCTTTCTTCTTCTTCACCCCAGGAACTTTTGTTTCCCAAAGTATAGTCTATGGATCATCTGCATTAGATTTACCCGAAGTATTTGTTAAAATATAGATTATGTGACCCGGCACCAGCAATTCTGATTCAGTAGCCCAGGGGATCTTACTGGCACAGTGACTCTCAGACTTTAGAATGCAGAGGAATCACCTGAAGAGCTTATTAAACATACAGATTCCTGGGCCCTGCTCACAGAGATTGATTCAGTAGGTCAGGGTAGAGCCCAAGAAATGAAACCTTTAACAGCTCCTTCAGGTGATTCTCTGTGAAACATAGGCCTTGGGTTCTGTACTCTTCCTTCTCCCTAGAAGGCCCTTCCTGTCTTCGAAAGTGATCTCAGATGTGCTACTCTAGTCCCAGTGTCCCACTTTTCATCTGCCTGCTGGAGTCTGTCATCTGGACACTGCTGGCACCTCAGCTTAGTGTGTTCAGAAGTAAATTCCTCATTTTATCCCTTGCCACTCCTCCTCTGTCTCCTGGTATCACTAGCCTCCCTGCCATGATCCTGACTCATCTTGTCTAAATATCCACCTCATACTCCATAATCAGTGACCAGTTCTCTGCTCTGCAGATTAAAGATCAACCTCAGATTGGCCCACACCTTCCACGGGCGCCTATTCAATAATGACTGCTTGGAAATAATATACGTGAACTTCCTGGTCTATAGCTGTCCTTCTTGTGATGGTACTTATTATTGCTAAATGTACCCTATGATGATCCAACTAAATAAGATCACTTGATATGTTCCCTGTGATTTTGCATTGCTTATACTTTCTTCATCACATTTTCACTGAATATCTCCAGGTCTCAAATGCTATCTTTTTTGAGAAAGGTTTCCTGTTTCTCCAACCAGATGTAATGTCTCTGTACTTTGAGCCCCAAAGGATGCTGAACTCCTTGTCATACCTGTGTGATCCCTTTTCCTTTGTTAGACTGTGGGCTTCTTGGGTATGGGCACAGGGGTCTTGGTCTCCTCTTCTGTTTAGTTCTTCCTAGAGTGCCTTGTCCTTGCTAAACATCTACTGAGTGAACCCTGTAGTTGTTACAAGTCATTAGCATGCTTGCTGATAAAAGATTAAAAGGTGACTCCTCCCTAGGTTCACCCCATTTTAAAAAGAAAATTATTAGGAAAAACAAACACCCAAACCCTCTGGACTTAAAAGCTTGATGCTGAGGTGACTGGCAGTGGAGTTGGTATTTGGGCTAGGGCTTGCCCATTCTCCCGAGTGACCAGCACTAGGGATAGTGCCAACGATGACACCATCTTGTGGCCATAATTGCCTTCCTGAACCAGCTCCAGTATACCACAGCATCCTCCTGAATATTCAGTGACCTGCCAACCCCCCACTGTGTCCTTTGCCCCTTTCCCTTTGAGGGTGTGAGTACAGAAGTATTAGCATAATATCTTGCCTCCCCTATGAGAGGGTTATTGCTCCATGAACAGGTATAAGAACCAAAAGACCGAAATGACCCTGAAGGCCAGAGAAATCACTGAAAAGAAATCAAAAAGCACTGTTAATATCCCAGGCACGAAAATAATTTTGCAGTATACAAAATGCAGCTTTGTTATAGTTATATTAATTACAATAGGATTTCTTCTATGTGTGTTTGGTAAGTTGGGTAAAATATAGGTGGGAATTATTTATTACAGTTGCTTCAACCTAACTTGAATATGCCGTGTATTTTTTTTTTTTTTTTGATTTGGAGTCTCACTCTCTCACCCAGGCTGGAATGCAGTAGCACATTCATGGCTACCCCAGCATCGACCTGCCGGGCGGCAGCGATCCCTCTACCTCAACCTTCCAAATAGCCAGAACTACAGGCGAGTGTTACCATGCCCGGCTAATTTTTTATTTATTGTAGAGACGAAGTCTCGCCAAGTTGCCCAGGCTGGTCTCAAACCCACGGGCTCAGGCAATCCACTTGCCTCGGCCTCCCAAAGTGCTGGGATTACAGGCTGAGCCACTGAGCCCAGCTTGCCATGTATTTTTTTAATCACCTGAAATTATAACTCAGTTTTAGACAAATTAAAAAAAAAAAATTTATTTTTTGAATTGGGGTCTCACTCTGCCACTGCAAGAATGCAGTGGCACGATCATGGATCGCCATAGCCTCCAACTCCTGGGCTTACACTATCTTTCTACCTCAGCCTCCTGAGTAGCTGGGACTACTGGGGTACACCACCACACCTGGCTAATTTTTTTATTTTTTTATTTTTTTTTGAGTTGGAGTCTCACTCTGTCGCCCAGACTGGAGTGCAGTGGCCACTCCCAGCCACCGCAGCCTCGACCTGCTGGGCTCCAGCAATCCTTCCGCCTCAGCCTTCCAAGTAGCTGGAACTACAGGCGTGCGCTACCATGCCCAGCTTATTTTTTGATTTATTGTAGAGATGAGGTCTCGCCAAGTTGGCCAGGCGGGTCTCGAACCCGCGGGCTCAGGCAATCCACTCACCTCAGCCTCCCAAAGGCACGGGATTACAGGCTGAGCCACCGAGCCTGGCTAATTTTTTGATCTTTAAAGTCTCTGTAGATAAGATCTAGCTATATTGCCCAGGCTGGTCTCAAACTCTTGGGCTCAAGCAATCCTTCTACCTTGACCTCCCAAAGTGCTGGAATTATAGGCATGAGCCACCACGCCCAGCCAGAAAATAGATTAAATATTACTTTTTAAAAAATGCATTTGTCATGCTTTGAATTTAAAAACTAGGTGCAAGATGCCCTTTTCATTTTTTTTGAGTCAGGGTCTCATTCTGTTGCTCAGGCTGGAGTGCAGCAGCACCATCATGGCTCACCGCATCCTTGACCTCCTGGGCTCAAGCGATCTGCCTTAGCCTCCCGAGTAGCTGGGACTGCAGGAATGTGCACGCCACAATGGCTAATTTCTTGATGTATTATAGAGAGGAAGTCTTGCTATGTTGCCCAGGGTGGTCTTGAATCCTGGGTTCAAGTAGTCCTCCCGCCTCAGCCTCGTGCTGGTTAGGCATGAGCCACTAAGCCACTGCACTGGAAAAGACATCCTTTAAAAATAAATATTAGGCTGGGAGCGATGGTTTATGTCTGTAATCCCAACATTTTGGGAGGCAGAGGTGAGAGTAATGCCTGAGCCCAGGGGTTCTAGACCACAGCTATACAATAAATCAAAAAATTGCTGGGTGTGGTAGCACGTGCCTGTAGTTCCAGCTACTTGGAAGGCTAAGGTGGAAGGATGGCCTGAGCCCAGTAGGTCGAAGCTGTGCTGGTTGTAATCATGCCACTGCACTCCAGCCTGGGTGGCAGAGTGAGACTTCTAATTAAAACAATTAACTAATTCATTCATTTTCATCAGTAACCATATCCCTTATATTCATTACTCATTATTAAATATTTTTATTTTATGAATCTTTTAGTCGTGGAATCCAGCAAAGAATGAAAAATTGCAAGAACTTTTCTTGCAAGAGGTGCAGATGGGAGAACTTTGGTTATCTAGAGGTAAGAATGTAAGCATTCTTTTGTTATTTATGGTAGTTTGTGTTCAAGAAATATTTATTGATTAGTGTTTATATGCCAAATAACTAGCTGGATGTGTTAACCAACTTGCTTCAGTTAAGGAGAAACTGTCCAAGCATGTTCACATCTTTACCCTGTCCTCCTTCACTGTGTTAGAGTGAGTCTTCAAGGTGATGTTGTAGTCTTAGAAGTGGGCAGATGAGAAGCAAAGCCAAACATGAGAACACCTTGCTTACTGTCATGTAAAATTCTAAGTAAATGATTTTTCCAAATGACTAAATGTTTTTGTTTGTTTGAGTCAGAGTAAGTCCCAAGTAGCTGGGACTATAGGTATATGCCACACACCCAGCTAATTTTTTTATTTTTTTGTAGAGTCCAGGTGTTGCTTTGCTGCCCAGACTAGTCTCCAACTCCTGGGCTCAAGCAATCATCTCGCCTCCACCTTTCTAAGTGCTGGGATTACAGGCGTGAGCACCATTCCCAGCCTCTAAATGTTAAGATTCAAAACTTTTTAGAATTCTGTTTTATAAAAATGTTCCGACTTTCTTAGGATATTTTTAATACTTACTTTTGTTGATAAAAATCATTTGTTTTGAATGACCATTTTTATACTGTGTTTTTAGTGATGCCTGTAGGGACTACCTTACACTTAATGGCCATGAACTGTATTTTGAGGTATAATTCAATCCCACTTAATTCTAGATAGGAAACTTCATAATATTGTCAGATATTGAAGGTAGAGAACATAATTATTATATATAGTAATCATAACGTCCTTCATCTGGTGTTTAATCCTGAAGTGGAAAAGAATAACTTTTGAGGCTTCTTAATGTAAGGGATAACAGATGTTGCTGAACAAATCAAAATTATACCCATTAAGAACAATTTTTTTTTTTTTGAGTAGGAGTCTCTCTTGCCCAGGCTAGAGTGCAGGGGCATGCTCATGACCACCACAGACTCAACCTGCTGAGCTCAGGCGATCCTTCCACTTCAGCCAGTTAATTTTTATTTTTTATTTATTATAGAGATGAGGTCTTGCCAAGTTACCCAGGCTGGTCTCAATCCCTGTACTTAGGCAATCCTCTTGCCTTTGCCTCACAAAGTGCTGTGATTACTGTGCCCAACTACAATATATGTACTTTATTTTTATTTTTTAAGCTAAATGCTTTTATTTTAAAAATTTTATTATTATTTTTTAAAGATGTGGGGTACAGTTCGGGGTTAAGGTATACAAATGTTCATTATGCATGTACCCTTGTTGATGAAGTTGATAGATAAAACCTTTCAACTTTTTAATTGGATAGTATACCAGGGGTGCCAAAAAAGTATACACATTTTAAGAGATGTTATATATATATTACTTTTAGTTTGCCATAATCAGAAATGTCTGGATGTTGACGGTAACTACTTTGAGACCCTCTTGTAATTGCAGAAGTCAAACGTGATTTGTATTCAACTTTTGTTATAGGTATATATTGAGTATTACAATTTTAATGTAGTTTTTTTTCTGAAAATGTGTATACTTTTTTTGTGGCAGTTTGGCACCCTCTGTATGTATGGGGAAGAAAGTTCTGAATTTTAAGTCAAAAGAAAAAAAGCAGCATATTAATTTTTATCACATTTTATTCCTGTTCACATTATGTTTAAGGACTATCATGTAATAGTTAGGCTAGATTTAGAGGTGGATAAATTACAAATATTGAAGTGTTTTAGAACAAAAATTGCAGACTTGGTTCTAAAATTTTTTCCTTTTTCAAATCTGATAACACTTTTTCTGTGAACCCCTAAATTGACTAATTAGCTCTTTAAGGATTATATACTTCTGTATTTTACTTATACTGTGGTTCTCAATCTTGGCTACTTATTCTTTAAATCCCTATCAACCCCCAAATCAATTAAATAGATCCTATGGGGGTAGAATTCAGGTATCAGTATTTAAAAAATCTCCCTAGGTTATTATAATATAAATCCAACATTGAAGACTAGTACAGTATTCTTTTTGGGGGGGGGTTGTTTGTTTGTTTTTGGTTTTTTTTGAGTTGGAGTCTCACTCTGTCGCCCAGACTGGAGTACAGTGGCTGCTCCCGGCCACCTCAGCCTCGACCTACTGAGCTCCGGCGATCCTTCCACCTCAGCCTTCCAAGTAGCCAGAATTACAGGCATGCGC